CATGCAACGCCACCCCCCCCTCCAAACACCACCACCACACACACACATAGGGATACAGAATGCAGTCAGACCTACCTGTGAGAACTGTGCCTACAAAGGAAACACCAACGGAAATCTCATTTATTGGGTCTACCTAAGTAGTAATGTAATTGCTAAGAAAATTAATTTAAACTGAAAAGTGAAGTCTTTTCGAACATAACTTTTAGTTTTAGTTTTAAAATAAACAAAGTACGCCCGGGCGGTGTTGCTCAGTGGTTGAGCATCGACCTATGAACCAGGAGATCACAATTCGATTCCCGGTCAGGGCACATACTCAGATTGCTGGCTCGATTCCCAGTAGGGGGTGTGCAGGAGGCAGCCAATCAATGATTCTCTCTATTCATAGATGTTTCTAACGCTCTCTACCTCTCCCTTCTCTCTCTGAAATCAATAAAAACATATTTTAAAAAAATAATAAACAAAGATCACTAAGAAATTATTTAGCAGCCAAACTACTTAGTATTTAAGTGGCTACCCTTGAAATACTAGCATTTCCTGATATAGCAAAGCGAAAGCAATGACTGAATAGGTTTTAGAATACCCTAGGACAGTGATGGCAAACCTTTTGAGCTTGGCGTGTCAGCATTTTGAAAAACCCTAACTTAAGTCTGGTGCCGTGTCACATATAGAAATTTTTTGATATTTGCAACCATAGTAAAACAAAGATTTCTATTTTTTATATTTATTTTATATATTTAAATGCCATTTAACAAAGAAAAATCAACCAAAAAATAGGTTCGCCATCACTACCCTAGGACTCAGTGGTCGGCAAACTGCGGCTCGCGAGCCACATGCGGCTCTTTGGCCCCTTGAGTGTGGCTCTTCCACAAAATACTGACTTCTGCGCATGGGCCACGAAGTTTCAATCGCACTGTACGTGCGCACCCGCACGTGGTATTTTGTGGAAGAGCCACACTCAAGGGGCCAAAGAGCCGCATATGGCTCGCGAGCTGCAGTTGCTGACCACGGCCCTAGGTCAAGAAACTTGACAATGTGAGTGACTTGGGAATGATTCCTGTACGTAAAAGCAGCAGTTGCACTGACACTGAAACCAACTAGCGAAATCTCAAAGCTGCATTTTCAGATATCATTAATCGAAATTTTCATGTTACTTTTTAAGCAGGTAGACTTTAAAAACAACAACCATCTCTTTGAGGACAAACATGTAACTGGAAAACATACTTGTACATAAGGAAAGGACTTTACATTTAAGAACAAAAACATCAGGAAGAGCCTTTGTGGAAAGTGAAACCTATTAGACTAATATGTAGAACAAAAAACATTGAGAACTGAAAACAGACTTCAGACACAAAGACAGTGTCTCACATTAGGTTGAAAACACTGTCTCATATTAGGTTGGCCAATCTCGGTGATTTTTAATTTAAAAAGAAGAGGCATTATCACTTAGCACAATTTCTAGGCATACTAGTTCTAAATTAAGAAGTTCTCAAGTTTTCATGAGATTGTCAAACAAAATGAGCTTTTAAGAAAGTAAAGTTTCAACTTTTGGGGAAGAGAAGGAAAGCCATGGCATTAATACCAACTGTACCCCAACTGTGTGCCTGTCACATGTGGAAATCTAGTCCTATGTCTCCTGTCTGCCTCTTCTACTCGTTAGTCAGTTGGTTAGAGCTGAGGTCCATAGAGTTAAATGCACAAATTCACATCTGTATTCTTGAAAACAAAAAAAGTAAATAGGTAATATATACCCGCTCTACACTACTCCGTTTATGGAGTCTCTAATAAATAGCACGATGACTCAATACTAACCTCCTGTGTGCACTTACTTAACAGCTATTCATCTGCACCAGCCCAGGTGGCTCCACCGGGCACAGGACAAATGTAGAGTTCCTCTACAAACCAGGTGCTCAGGAAACGAGTTGGCAACAGGAAGCTGTCAACAAGAACATCACCTCTCCCAGGAACAATGGGAGCTCACTGCAGGGCTACAGCTGGGGACAGAGAAGATCCCAGTGACCTTCGATCTTGCTCCACAGATTCCTGTAATTTCACCTTCTGTGTAACAAGAGGTGTGCTGATTCAAACATATCCTACGATGAATCTGAACTTAGGCTTCCTAACTTGAATGTTTTATCAATTTATTTGTGAGTGACCGTTTTCATTTTACAAAGCAAAATTCAGTTTAGTGAATGCTGACCAAAGTCCCCTATTGGAAAACACCAGGACAGAGCCCACAGGGTACAGGGCCATCAGTAAGACATCCCAGGGGCTGTGGAATCCACAACAACACTGTCTCCACTATTTATATAATATCATTCAAGTGAACACTGGCTTAAGGACGAGAATTGGGCTTCCTTTAACGGGGCTGGGTTCATTTAATGGGGCTGGGTTCGTTTTAGCACTATGCAGAGCAAATGGCATGAAAAAGAAATTCACTAAAAGTTCACAAACCTACATTTACATTCATCGCAACAAGTTTAACCTAGTAGTACAAAAGGAAAAAATAATATTACTTAAAAAAGATCTGGCATAAGTAAAACAATAGAAGATGACCTAGAATTAACCTCCTGTCCCAAAATATTTTGATGGACATTTTAAAAACATACTTTACAGTAAAGTATGTTTTTAAAATAGATTCCACATCTGATTATTTTCTCTGCGGGAGACTGATTACAGAAATAAACAGAGCTCTGCATTTTCAAGAACCAAAGTTCACTGCTTAAGATCTAGCATTTGCACCTTTAAAAAAGATACATGTTAAACAGCAGCAAATAACTGAGCTGAAGAAAACATTCCTCAAATTATATCACCCACATGACATTGTCCTAGTGCAACTATTTCCTGTCATCCAAGCTCAAAGCAGCTTGACAGGATCAGCACCCTCAAAGTACCGTGTAACTTACACGAAGTTCACTGCCTCACAAAGCATCTTCTCTTGTTATCCTCTGGTACTCAAGCATTTGCCCAATTGGAAAGTACAAGTGGATGAAAACTACAAATGATTATTCTAATTTTATATAAGTAAACTAATTTTTGCAAAAATACTGATTACATACATTACTTTGTTTTTCTCTGACTACAATTGCTTTTTCATGTCAAATTTTATCACTAAAATGCAAAGTTTATAAGTCCAATAATAATTTTAACACAGATGCTCACAATCCCAAGAAACAGCAAAAAGAACTCAAAAAGCTAGTGCTTTACAATAACTAAGCAGTTAAACAACCTCACAGGAAAGGTGTACCTAATGAGTAAACACATGCAAGCTTACCCTGGGGTAATGCAAGTATTAGCCTAAGCTATTTAGACAAACGCGTTGAGTAGGAAATTGTACTATGTATCACCTGACTTTTAAATAACTAGTTTTTAAAACTTAATAAGTAATTTAAAGAAAAATTAGCAAAGATAAAAAATAAAATCAGTAAGAATCCGTTTTAGAAACCATATCGAAATTCATAATAACTACAAATCAAGGAACTTTCTAAAAAAATAAAAACTCTGACCCTTAAATCCAATACTGACTTTATTTTTAAGTAATCACCTGATTGTACATCTAGATCCTTCATTAAAACTTTTCGATAGCCTGACCAGTGTGGCTCGATGGTTTATTTGAATCCTGGTCAGGGCACATCCCGGGTTTGCGGGCTGAATCCCCAGTAAGGGGTGTGCAGGAGGCAGCCGATCAAAGATTCTCTCTCATTATTGATGTTTCTAGCCCTCTTGCCCTCTCCCTCTCCCCCTTCCTCTCTGAAATTAATATCTTTTTTTAAAAAAAAATAAAAACATTTTGCTAAATGCCATCGACAAACACATTACTGAAATATCAAAGCTAAAGTCAAATAGGTCATTCAGGTATTTCCTGAAAATCAGGTTTCTAGCCTAAGCAAAACATTTGTTTTACATATAAATCACATTAAAATTTTATGGTCTGATCCATTTTTTCCAGCATTGTTTTTCAGAAAGACCATGTCCTCACTGATTTAATAAAACCATGAACCACCTACAAATCGAATCAAAATCTCAAATATACAAAATTTACTTAAACATATACAACTCTTTAATGGACATTTTTCTTCTAGTTAAGACATGTTGGAAGAATGAAGAGTTATGGAAAGTACAGGAAAGTGTGTGTGTGCTTTCTTTTAAAGATATTTTAAAGACAAAACCTTCCTTTTAAAATATAAAACCATCCCAAGCTGGTGTGGCTCAGTGGTTGAGCATTGACCTATGAACCAGGAAGTCATAGTTCCTTTCTGGGTCAGGGCACATGCCTGGGTTGCAGGCTTGATCCCCAGTAGAGGGCGTGCAGGAGGCAGCTGATCGATGATTCTCTCTCATCACTGATATTTCTATCTATCTCTCCCTCTCTCTGAAATCAGTAAAAACATATTTAAAAAAAATATGTACATATACGTGTGTGTGTATAAATATATATGTATATACACATCTATAATACTAAAAGCGTAATATGCTAATTAGACTGGACATCCTTCCGGACAAAGCTACGGAGGGTGAGGGCCAAGGCCCTTGCACGAATTTCATGCACCGTGCCTCTAGTATATACATAAAACCAATGGTCATTAGGACTTTCGAGGTTTTTATAGAGACCTCATCCTTATTCCCTAGAATGTCACATACATACCCACATGTACACAAATGCACATGTGCTCATATACACTTAGCACAAATTATAACAAAGCAAGGCCCTTCCTTATTTAACATCAGGCAATAAATAAAATCAAAATTCATATTCTTTAAGATGAAAGGCATTCCACTGATGATCCTGATTCAACAATCTTACAGTTAGACAAAATTAATCCCATTCTCAAAAATCCATTGACCTTAAGCTTTTAATAAGCATTTTCCATTGCAAAAATTATGGTCAATATTTACAAATCTTTAAACTTATATTCAGTTGGACCCACTTGTATTTGCTATATTAATATTTCTTAGTAAGTGTGTGCTCATTGTCTCGGAGCAGAAGAGCAGCTGCTACTCACTGGGAATCTCTGGGGTCCCACCGCAGGTCTCTGTTGGCTCGGGACTGGCAGCAAGGGCACTGTGGAAAACACCTCTCATTAGAAACACGTTGTGCTCACACCCAGACCAGCTGCTAAAGGAAGGCAATAGACTAAGTATAACATAAAACATATACGATGTGTACAACATAAAACACATTGAGTTTCCATCAAGAGAAAGGGAAGGGCTTCTCTGCCTTCACACAATAGCACAAAAAGAAGCTTACATTTCAATTGTGAATTCCCATTTAGGGTTAAAACATTTCGCAACACAAGAACAACTTACTTTTTCTCACTTCCAGGTTACCCAGGTTATCCAATCCCAGGCATACCTCTGACTCCACTCAAATACAAATTGAAATCTAAATCCTCTGGAGTCATGAAAAGAGTGAGAGGGAAGAAAGGTGAGAGTGAAGCAGGCAGAGCAAGGGAATATACAAGCTCAGGGTACCATTACAAAGAACAACTACTATGCTGAGATGTTTTGTTTCGTTTTGAAACAAGCAGAACTCCACTGACCTATCAGGACAAGGAAGGAAGCCAGATGTTAGTTTCACCCCTGGGGCTAAATCAGGTATGTTTAAGCTATATAAAACGTGTGAGATCTACTGATCGGATGAGGGGAACCCCAGCACCTAAGTGGTGACAGCTGTGAGTGGCAGCTATACCTCACTAAGATGTGCTGCCCCATCATCTGGGAAACTCTCAGAGTGTCAGGTGTTATGGTCTGGTCTGTGGCCCCCTCCTAAATTCATATGAAGTCTTAACACCAGTAACTCAAAATGGGACTGTATTTGGAAAAAGAGGTGATTAAGGTAAAATGAGGTTAGGTGGGTGAGCCCTAATCCACTGTGACTGACTGGTGTCCTTGTAAGAAGAGATCACAACACAGACATGCACAGAGGAACAACCAAGTGAGGCTACATACAAGCAAGAATAAGAACAAAGCTTATAAATTAGAAATATAATAATATTTTTAAATAGCATATTTTAAAGAAATTTCTGGCAAATGAGAAATAGAAATGATACAGTTTAAAAGTGAATCAAAGCTGTTTTGAAAACAGAGTGCTGAGATGCACTCACTGGCAGTGGTTCTCAACCTTCCTAATGCCGCGACCCTTTAATACAGTTCCTCATGTTGTGGTGACCCCCAACCATAAAATTATTTTCGTTGCTACTTCATAACTGTAATTTTGCTACTGTTATGAATCATAATGTAAATATCTGATATGCAGGATGTATTTTCATTGTTCGCGACCCACAGGTTGGGAACCGCTACACTAAGCCTTGTAATTAACATCACACATCCACAGGTCCACTTAAAGTGAGATGGGCCTGTAAGACCACTTGATCAAAGCAAAGTGCAACCGAAAAAACTTATTTTGATAAAATGTATAAAAGATAGAAGTACATCCCTCTCTTGAGAGCCTAATCCAATGAATCAAAATTTCAAACTAAGAGTCAATTTGCAAGGCTTCCTATAAAATAGCAACCAGCCCCTCAATCTATGTAGCTGGCTAAAGGCTCTGGGTACATCGATTATATACCTGAAGCAAAATAGTAGACCATGAAGCGGAGAAAGAGAGTACCTCTGACCTCAAAAGATTATCATGAAAGTAAAGAAGAAAAAAACTACATATTAAATAATATAAAGACAGAATTTTTTAAACTATGCACCAAATTTTTAAACATTTTTTTAGTAAACTGTAAAAAGCCTCCAGCTGGTGTGGTTCAGTGGTTGAGCGTCAACCTATGAACCAGGAGATCAGGGTTCGATTCCCAGTTAGGGCACATGCCCAGGTTTCAAGCTCGATCCCTAGTGTGGAGCGTGCAGAAGGAGGCCAATCAATGATTCTCTCTCACCACTGATGTTTCTATCTCTCTCTCCCTCTCCCTCCCTCTCTGAAATCAATGAAAGTATATTTTTTAAAAAGTTAAAAAATAAATTGTAAAACACAACAGGAAAGAGGAGAAAAAGAATAAACACTGACAAGAACATCTGAGAACAGGTGTGACGCACAGATCGAATCCAGCCAGGCCAGAAAGAAGGCCTCAGTCAGACCGCCAGGGCATCTGCAACCTGTCCTCCTAGGGGCCCTGCAGGGCACCTGGTCTGCAGGCAGGAAGACAAGTCTACCTATGAGAGAACTTAAAACCTGAACTGTTAACAGACCATTCCAGTTGAACCTTAAACTCCAAGTATTTGATATTTAAGACTTACATCTTCTGTTGTCCCATGTACCTAATGGATTAGATTAGCTTTCGATTCACTGCAACGGTTGTAATAGTGAACACCTGAAGAACACGTTGAATTTCCATCAGAACTGGTTAATTATAATTTTACAGAACACTTCATCCTCAAAAAGGAAATATGTGCCACCAAGAAAAGATGTGCACACGCTGTTACCTTTTACATGTACCTTCTACCTGCCTACAGCTCCAAGAACCACTGTGCAGCAGGCAGCTAGATACCAAGCCTCTCTCAAGAGGAACTGCTTTCTACTTAAGCTCATTCACTCACTCTCTCCCTACACCAGCAAATCTCAAGATCAAAGGTGTGTCAAGGAGAAGGAATGTGTGGCACAAAGCCCCGGCTTTGTGGTGAAAACCATTTAGCTTGTTCTGAGTGTAAAACTTGCCGGCAAGGTGATGTGCACTCACTGAGTCTGCATGAGCTCTGGGTGCCAGGTCTCTGTCTATGCCCATCAGGCTGCTGACTCAGCAAGACACACACCCTTCACACCTGGAAGACATCCTGAGTTTCCTTAGCCCTCTCCCACTCTGCATGTCCTACCACCACTTATTTCTATCAGGCCACACCAATCTGTGCACCTCACCAACTGCCAGTCCTCCCTCACTGTGCAAGGAAATACACAATACCCAATGCTGACATCAGTAAAATCTTTCCCACAGCTTCATTTCCTGCAGGGGCACGTCCTGGGTAGCCACCATGGAAAGGGCTACTTTCCTGCACCCTCCTTGCCCCCATGAGCATGTGTTGGTCCCTTCCTCCCACAGCTGCTAGAGCAGACACAGGTAATGTGCTAATCACACAGACCATAACATGTCCTGCCCTGCAAGACAGTGAGGTCACTGAATGATTCTAATATATGGTGGGGACAAGCCAAGGGGTCAGTCAGGGGGTCAGGGACCGACAGCACTAACACCCGACCTTCCAGGTGTGTCAAACAAGAGCTATCTCCTGTAACAACACAAGGACACTGACCCTCCTCTGCCCCCCTAGAGCCCTCTGCTCCAAGGCCACAGCACAACTTCACAGCGCCTCCAGACCACTGGCCCTCTCCACACTCCAAGTCCTATCTCAGGCTTCTCCCCAAGTTCTGAAACTTCTCAACCACACCTTTGGAATTCCAAGTTCTCAGCCACCAGAACCCATGCTGGCCTCAGCCTGTCCCCTTCCTGCTCTAATAGAAACCTAGCTGTCGCAAAGGATGCTGCTGTTTCCCTCACAGCCCTCCCCACTGCCTCTGGAGGCAGAGAGGGGTCCTTCTTGGCCTGAGTGCTGTTTCCACCCAAGTGTTCCACACTAGCTACCTGATTCCACACCAGCAGCCTCCTTCAACTCTTACCTTCCTAATGAAGCCAACCCAGCCCTAGCTGCTCTATCTGTCAATGCACTGGCATCCCTTAACCTGCCACAGAAATCAATGTGTTTATGGCTGACTGTTAGAACGCAGGACCATGACTGCAAAAAGCTTGTCTGCTTTGTGCACCAACATAACTCAGTGCCTGAGATAGAAGCATCGCAGCCCACGTGTGCTGGACAGAGGCATAAAGATGTGCTCCTGCCCTAGTCGGTTTGGCTCAGTGGATAGAGCATCAGCCCAACTGAAGGGTTTCAGGTTCGATTCTGGTCAAGGGCATGTACCTCGGTTGCAGGCTCAATCCCTGGCACTGGTCAGGGCACCTGTGGGAGGCAACCAGTCAATGTGTCTCTCACACATCAATGTCATTTCTCTCTCTCTCTCTCTCCCTCCTTTCTTCTCTCTAAAAATCAATGTTAAAAATACCCTCATCTGGCCCTGACCGATTTGGCTCAGTGGATAGAGTGTCGGCCTGCGGACTGAGGAGTCCCGGGTTCGATTCCGGTCAAGGGCATGCAGCTTGGTTGCGGGCACATCCCCGGTGGGGGGTGTGCAGGAGGCAGCTGATCGATGTTTCTCTCTCATCGATGTTTCTAACTCTCTATCTCTCTCCCTTCCTCTCTGTAAAAAAATCAATAAAATATATTTTAAAAAAATACCCTCACCTGGCCAACAGGGCTCAGTGGTCAATCTATGAACCAGGAGATGACAGTTCGATTCCCGGTCAGGGCACATGTCCAGGTTGCGGGCTTGATCCCCAGTGGGGGGCGTGAAGGAGGCAGCTGATCAATGATTCTCTCTCATCATTGATGTTTCTATCTCTCTCTCCCTCTCCCTCTCCCTTCCTCTCTGAAGTCAATTAAAAATATATTTTTAAATAACTATTCTTTAATAATAACCAAATGTAATGAAAATGTATTGTCAGGTTTAGACTTTAGTACCTCAGAAATAAAATCTCTCCTTGGGTGAGGATTAATAAATAAACAAAAAAAGATGTGCTCCTTCCCAAAGGCATGAAAACAGTTTCCTTGGGCCAGGAAATGGTAACGTGAGAGGTTATCACTTAAAACTCATGACTAAAGGTGAATCTGCGCGCGCACACACGCACACACGCACACACGCACACACACACACACAGCTAACATGGGGACTCACAGAGAGCACCTGAGTGGGACTCGAGGAAGCACCCTGCTGACTCTCCACAATGCCTCTCCTGCCCTCCAAATTCAGTGCCTGCCACCCAATCAGAATCTAAGATACACATTTGTTAGCAAGCACCTGGCCCGTGAGTAGCAGGAGTCTAAGTGGGTGGGGAAGACATCAGGAAGCCAAGTTGTCCTTGCAGACTGGAGCATGACATCTCTTTGGCCACAGCAACAATAAAGGAGACACATACCTTGCACGGGTGTCACCACCGCTCCTTTGAAGTGGGGGTTTATGTGGATGTTCTTGGGCTGCTGTGGGGTCACGGGTGGAGGGGTCATCATCACCCTGGGCGCCTCCATCTGGGGTGGCACATGCATTCCTTGTGGAGGGGAGGGGTGGTGCGGATGCTGCAGGGGCAGCAGGGGCTGCAGGGGCTGCTGCTGGAACAGGCTCCGAATGGGCTGCTGCTGGGGTGGCGGTGGGGGGGGAGGCTGAGGCTGGGTTGGAGGAATTAATCTTGGAGAGTGCGTCTATAATCACAAAAAAGACAAATTCACAGGAATCAACATTTAAAAGCAAAGAAAACGACTGGTGACATGTTACAGACTTATGCTGACTGAATTGTAAAAGTTAGGAGTTAGAAGTAAGTTCATAGTAACAAGCTGTACGAGACAGCAGGCAAGGAGGCTGCTCCCCCTGCCCCACTGGCTCTGCCATCTCACCATGCGCTCAACCTCAGGGCAGGTGGGCAGACGTGGCAGTTCAACCAGCAGAACTGCCCCCAGTGAGCCACGCACCACACTGAGGACAGACCCAGGCTGCCCCGCCCTAATGCAAGGCTGCTTGCTCTGTGGCTGTCCCTTATGGAAGCAGGTCTCTTACCAGAACTTTCTTCACAAGCGGTTGTAACAGAATTGTTTTTACTGCCGAATACTAGAGGACGGAATTTATAAGACCACATATGAAATCATTAGAGACTATAAATACACTTCACGAACTTCAGCTGCATTCCTACTACTAAACTTTACTTCCAGACTAAGTGATCAACACAAAATGCAATACCCACAAAAGCATATTTTCATTTGTTCTAGTTTTAGACTCAAGAAAATTGTAACGTTACCACCACAGGAGGCTGTGTGGGGAGCAGCGCAGGTCTGTGGTCCTTCATGCGGCCCCTCTCACTGTTCTCTCTTCTCTGGTCCCCCATTCCACGACACATTAAAGGACCTCCTCTCCTTCCGCCCCGCCTTGAACCATAGCGGCCCTGCTTATGCTGGCGTTCTCTTTCTTCAAATTCAAGCAACGCAGCTTTGGCTTCTGCTGAAAGCTCTGTGTGAAAAGATGTGCACACGTTAGAAACATTCAGAGCGGGAACAAGACTCACAGGGAGAACACACAGAAGAAATACGTGACAATAACACTCTGCAACAGCAAGTGCTTCCCCACAACAGGCAACTGCATCGACAGGAGCAAGCACGACAACAGTGGCGACCCCCACCCGCTATTCAATGGGGGCATGCTCTGCCTTGGAATACAAGTGCCTCCTGTGTACAAAGACTGGAAGGTATTTTCATTTGGGACCACTAATGTGCTGAGGGAGCTGAAAAAGGGGCTCAAGTCAAAGTTAGCCACTGCCCTTCAGCTGCCAGGCAGGTTCCATCATGTTGGCCGACAGCACAGCTCAGAACCCGCTCCCCGGTCACACCCAGTACAGCTGTCCTAGTGAAACCAGCACAAGCATTACTAAGACACAGACACAGAGACTCAGAAAAATACATACAACAGAACAGATTCCTGACTCTTCTGATCTTAAAACTATTAGTGAAATCACTCCAACGTCAAATAATTGTCATTAAGCCCCGGCCCATGTTGCTAGTGCAGTGATGGCAAACCTGTGACACGCGTGTCAGAGGTGACACGCGAACTCATTTTTTTGGTTGATTTTTCTGTTAAATAGCACTTAAATATATAAAATAAATATCAAAAATATAAATCTTTGTTTTACTATGGTTGCAAATATCAAAAAATTTCTGTATGTGACATGGCACCAGAGTTAAGTTAGGGTTTTTCAAAATGCTGACACGCTGAGCTCAAAAGGTTCACCATCACTGTGCTAGTGGTTAGAGTGCCAACCCTTGACCAGGTTAGATTCCCGGTCATGGGGTCAAGAGCACCTACCTGGGTTGCAGTTTCACTCCCCACCCTCCAGTCCATGGGCGACAACCAACCAGTCCATGTGCATGTGTCTCTTTCACATCGATGTTTCTCTCTCTCTCTCTTTTTCCCTCCTTCCCTCCCTCCCTTTCTCTGTGAAAAAGCAGTGGAAAAAATATCCTCATGTGAAGATTAACCAAAAATAAAAAAATAATTAATGTTAATGTCATACAAAATGGAAAACATTTACTATTATCATTACAAATTTTTAGTTTTATAAAGAAAGAAAAAAATCTTTGCTGAGTGAAGAAAGATTTATATACATGCCTTCTGATGAGGAACCATGCCAAATGAGAGCAAAGTCTCATAAGAGAAAACCTATTCATGCAAACATTTGTTGGACACCAGTATTAGTAGGTGCTCACCTGTCTGACGAACACTTCAGGGCAGTGATTTTCAACCTTTTACATCTCATGGCACATAGAATCTAATTACTGAAATTCTGTGGCTCACCAAAAAATATATTCTTTGCCAATATGACAAAAAAAATAGGTATAATTTTGATTCATTCACACAGACAACCATTGTTGTGTTGGCTATTGTTGTTTTTTATTTGACAGTCTAAGGAAAAAGAGGTCAGTGCCCTGACTAGTCAGTATTGCATGTTTTTAAAAATCTTGCTGCTCACTCATGGTTGAAAATCAGGGCTTAAGGGATACAAAACACATAGACTCTGTCTCTAAGAAACTTCAGGTGGCACATTATTCTAAAGTCTTAAAAGAAAAAAACTGACAGACTCAAATATGGTTCCTTTATTTCAAAATATTATCTGAGTTGTGGCATTATATCTTACATTAATAAAACTGCGTCCTGAGAAGCATTCTTATGCCTTCTTCCACAATGAAGGGTACATTGTAAATATTACCAGTTTATCTCCTACCTTGGAATCCATAGTCATCTCTAAACTCTTCCAAAATCTCTAAACCACACTTCATCCCCTTGAAATGGTTTCTATGGTAACCCCTCCCCTTCAAATGAATGGAGGCCCCATTCGAAGGAATATTTAATCTCTTCTTAACAAGCACAGACTTTTACTCTAATCTTGATGACATGATTGGTTCACATACACATTTTATGCGGTGAATCAGCAATTATTTTTCTAGTGGTTCTAAGTGTCAAGATTAATTTCACTATCCCCAGTAATAAAATGGTTTCAAATGACATCTTTAATCAGCAAGTAAAAATGCTTTCCTCCAATTGAGACAAGCTGTCACAAAAGGTCACCAAAATATGACAGGATGGAAATTACATTTGTATCTTCAACTGAAATGTTAATTTCCCTTTAAGTGTTTTCTGTACTATGTCCAGATTCTAAAGTAGAGATATAGCTCAATGTAAGAAGTTTTACACTGCATTGTCCCTTTCTAAAATGTGCTTAAGAAAAACAAATTTACATACAAATAATTGTATAATGATTAGACTAATACATAATAAATAAGTATTTATAGAATACACAGTTTATCTGGCAAAGTAAAAACAACACCCGGTAATCTGGTTTTTTACACGATAACTGATCAGGAAATGTGCACTAAGCCTGCAAACACAAGGATCTGTGCAGATGCAGGGCAGTGTGCTGGCACTAGAGACCTGGAACTGCATGAGACCACATGGAACATTTCCCCACAGATCCTGTGCCATAAAAAAATTAACTGAGGATACAATTTAAAAGAGAACATCATGCATCACAAGATCTTTAGGCTGAAGCAATAAAGCATAATTAAACATAATAAATGTGCCAGTGAAGCTTAGAATCTCATAAAATCTAAATGCCTACTCATAGGTAATGTTTTTAAAGCCTAACTAAAATAAATGTAGTCTGTCCTTCATTGCTCGCACGGCTTAAAAGAAAATCCAGGTCCACTTCCTAGGCCAGAAGAGCAGGCAGCTTGGAGCTTCTGTGCTGACACTGCAGGAAACTGGTTAAGGATACCCACATTCCAGTGACGGCTTCTAGCATTACCACTCAAAATAGGCCATTCCTTACACAGATATGTTCTAGAAAAAGAAACCCTTCTCAACTGGGTTCCACGAAAGAAGCCCTAAAGCATCCTTTGTGTTTAACAAATGAATTTATCTCCCAATTATCAAGTTTTGCACCATTCCTAGGAAAACTGAGAAACACACATTTTCTGTAATGTTTAATTCCCAGAATCCTAGATGAGGGGAAAATCTCACTACTTAAGATCTTACCCTAACTAAAAACCCAAAATTCTAATTCAAATCTGAATTCAAAATACAAAATCACCAGCTCTGTATTGGGCTCCATACCTGCCAAGACTATCAGATATGAATTAGTAGTCTTCATTTTTAAGACTGGCATCATATATTTGAGCGTGAAAATGATTCAACGTGGTGAAAACACCCTTCTAAATCCTGAAAAGAACTACTACTGCACATGCAGACTAAAGGCTCAGAAATGGGGGCGCCAGAGCTTCATTCCATTCTTCTTTTTAAATTGTGGGGTGTTCTCAATATTAATCAATGATTTCACAAAATAATTATTTGCATTCAAAATGCTAAAAGACATCATTTGACAAAAAAAAAATATGCCATATAAAATGACATATGTATTCTGGTAGCAAGATATTAAAACTAAAACCCATTACAAAGAGTAGGTAAATAGCTTTATCAATCAAATAAATGAGAGTATTTCTACACAAAACATGAAACTACTGTTTCCATCGCCACAAGCACACAGAGGAGCTGTGAAGTAATTTCTAGTTTATCAAATACTGCAGCGGCCTCTCTCAGTATCTTTCTTATAAATAAAACTAACCTTTTGTTTGGGGTATGGGAGCGTTCAGGTAATAAGGGAGCTCACTGTTTTTAGGAAACCAATCTTTAAATGGACAGAAAAATCCTGCTTGTACCGGGAATAATCCTAACTCTTCAGTTTCTAGAAAATGTATGTTTCCTAGGTTAGGGCTCACAAATACAGAGCCAAGAAAGATACTTTCAAGCCCCATTTTCATTTGTCCTATTATCTAACCAATCATTCTGCACCAATGCATTTAAAGCCCTTTTTTTAAGTTGAAAGAATGATAAAAAGTCAAATTGTTTATGCTTAAGCCACAATGCCTCTAAGGACCTCAGACCCTCTCCCTGACATGTAAAAGGCCGACTTGCCCACCACTAATTCCTTCCAGCCTCTGGTTTCAGGATGGCATGACTATAAAGCTGCCAGATGCCTTGAAAAGGAAAAAAAGATTCTACACAAATTCTGCAATAAAGGAAGTACAAACGATACTGAAAAGAACGAAGTGAGAAAAAGGTCCTGATAAAAAAGAGAAGCAGGAATAAAACAAACACAAAGTATGAATACAGGCAAGCTGGACATGTCACCATTGCCAGGCCTAGGTCAAGGTAAAGTGGACAGGGACAAGATGACCCAGCTGAGGACCAGGGGCTGTGCAAAGGCAGCAAGGGTCAGGGGAGAGTGACCCATGAAATCCACCATGGCCTATAGGGAGCTGGCTACAGAGGGAAAGGTTCCCTCATTCTTAATGGCAACTATCAAGTGATTTCACAGCCTTAGCACATGCAGCTTCCACCGTTATTATGACTGGATATATCTGGTTCCCCAATTAATGCAACAAAGCCAATCCCAGCTAACAAAGCCACAGAAACCGGATAATTCACAACCACCCTCCCCCAACACGGGCGCCCTCCAACATGGCACCTAGGCCATTTCCCTACTGAGCCGCTGCCCAGTGCCCTCTAGTGCTCAGCCAAGGGTGCCATCTCGCCCTTGTCCATTATCCCAGCCCATGCCTGAGCTGTGTGCTCCAGCAGGCTTGCTCTGTAACACTACCATCCTCCTGCTGAGGGTACTTTTGTTTTTTTCCATGTTTAAGACCTGCACTTCATCTCCTTTTATCCAAGGCCAACTTCAAATCCTTTCTTAGAAAGTTACACTGTCTTAGACTGACAACTTTATACCTTAACCTGAGAAAAGTCTAAGCAAATCTTGGGCCAAAAGGTAGAGATGGAAGAAACTGTTAGGGGAAGAAGTGGAGACCGGTACGATTCTAGAACAATCTCTCCACAAAGTTCATTAGTAAAGTAGCATGACATGACTGGCTCATTCCTGTTAACTTGTGCAACTTGGGGACTTAGTGTCCTCACACAGAATTCCTATCTGCTCAGTTTATAACTGAAAATGGCTACAAATAATGGTTTTAAGAAGTAATAAAGGTAGTAACTAAGGGTTAGTTGACTGTTATTTTGACCAAGGCCAGAGAGGAGGTAGAACCCTCTAGCCTTCTATCTTCCCATCCTCCTCCTCGGAATATGATACAGTATCCCAGCGGTTCTCAAAGTGCGGTCAGAGCAGCGGCATCTGGAAACGCATCAGAAATGCACCTGTGTTGGGCTCCACCCTAAATGCTGGGAGTGGGTCCAGGAATCTGTGATAACAAGCCTTCTAGGTGACTTGCTCACTCATATTTGAGAACCACTGCTTTATTCTCTGCAACAGACACTGCAAGGAACCGTGGGAAGGCTCTCTGTTAATCAGCAACAGCCTACTATCAATCTTGAAGTTGCAGGACTTGCTCAGAATGACGGTCAATTGATTGTGTCTACAACAAGTCACCTTGTGTTTTTACGGAATGACTTTTATAGCACCGTAGCTCAGCTCTGTCTTCACACAGACCATCCCCCTCTGATGGCATGCATAATCATCTATAAAGTCAACATTTCTTTACCTATTTGATTAATCATAATAGTACTATGGAGGAAGCTGAAATGGGAATGAAGAAAGATGGGAGACAGCCAAAAAGAGTTACCCAAAGTTTCTGGAATGTTCCTTCTCTCTCGAGTTACATCTGAGAGCCTAATAATTGTTCCTTCTTTCCTTTCAGTTTTGAAACGCAATCTTCCAGATTCTTCATCCTCATCATCTTCTTCATCTGATTCTTCTTTTATTTCCTTCTGCATTTCCAAAGTCTCCATACTCCCCTACATTGCAGACACACAAAACAAAGGGGAAAGTGAGTTCATCTCTTGAATTAAAGATTGAAGAATATAAGTTATTTATATTTAAGATGTAAAATGTCCTTTTATGAGGCAATGTGAAAAACTAAATCGATTCTAGGAGAAAATAATCTCAAACATTAAAAATTAACTTAATGTTAGAAAAAGATTATATTCCTACATGTTGCTAATTACACTTCAGAGAGAAGAAACATCAATTCCAACAACCCCTTCGGGCCTGGAGTCTGATCCAGATTCTAGCAGAGTCCAATGTATTAACTAAGCTAACACTGGAGTTCCATGGGCTCACTCACTAGCATGTGACTCACCCTTGTCACTTACCTCAGATGACAGTACACTCCTTCCTTACACAGGCTGGGCGTGTCCTGTAATTGCTGACCCAGCCCCTTGAATGTCTGCTGCCCCTAAGGCTCCCCATCTGCTAGAGGGCTGGTTTGTTTGCAGCCCCCAAAGTCTGTCCTTCATCACTCCCCTTCTGCTCGGTGCCTGTCTGCAGCTGGCCACCACCACCTACGGTAAGCTTCAAATCAGCAGGACTGGTCTTTTTCCTCAGTCACTGCTTCTCACTAAAACCAGCTTGTACCTTATATTTCATTACATCCCTATTCCTACAAAAACTCTGCCTGATCTAGCCCCCAAAACTAAATGTTTCTCGCCATCAACAATTCTCACTGCCCATTTTACTCATGTTCCTTTTGACACCAATCGCTCTTCACCTCATATTAAGTCTTAGTGACCTACTGTTAGATACATACTGAGTACTAGGTTCATTTAAATATTTTTTATAAACTTAAAAAAATTAACTATTTTAGAGGCACATCTTCAGGAGCGCAAATGCCTGAAAATAGAATGATGAAGGTAAACTATAACTTTATTTTAGGCCTAGTGATTGCAATACCACCTTTTGGTATTCTATTCACAATACTACAGAGCTTTAAAGTACTACAATCTTGGCATTTTGTTGGTCTGATACCATTATTTCTCTCTTATTCGATAGCTGAAACCAAAATGAGTGACATATAAGATGGATCCAGCCAGGTGTGTGCTGCACTACACTCAAACTGAGCGCAGGTGAGCTCATTCTCCACCTCCATCCACAATGTTCCAATTTATAACTTTTTAAATGTTTGTATTGATTTCTTTATTAGAGAGAGAGGAAGGGAGAGGGATAGAGATAGAAGCATCAATGAGATCCCTTACTAAGAATCAAGCCTGCAACTGGGACATATGCCCTGACCAGGAATTGAACCAGTGACCTCTTAGTATGGCATGCATAATCATCTATAAAGTCAACATTTCTTTACCTATTTGATTAATCATAATAGTACTATGGAGGAAGCTGAAATGGGAATGAAGAAAGATGGGAGACAGCCAAAAAGAGTTACCCAAAGTTTCTGGAATGTTCCTTCTCTCTCGAGTTACATCTGAGAGCCTAATAATTGTTCCTTCTTTCCTTTCAGTTTTGAAACGCAATCTTCCAGATTCTTCATCCTCATCATCTTCTTCATCTGATTCTTCTTTTATTTCCTTCTGCATTTCCAAAGTCTCCATACTCCCCTACATTGCAGACACACAAAACAAAGGGGAAAGTGAGTTCATCTCTTGAATTAAAGATTGAAGAATATAAGTTATTTATATTTAAGATGTAAAATGTCCTTTTATGAGGCAATGTGAAAAACTAAATCGATTCTAGGAGAAAATAATCTCAAACATTAAAAATTAACTTAATGTTAGAAAAAGATTATATTCCTACATGTTGCTAATTACACTTCAGAGAGAAGAAACATCAATTCCAACAACCCCTTCGGGCCTGGAGTCTGATCCAGATTCTAGCAGAGTCCAATGTATTAACTAAGCTAACACTGGAGTTCCATGGGCTCACTCACTAGCATGTGACTCACCCTTGTCACTTACCTCAGATGACAGTACACTCCTTCCTTACACAGGCTGGGCGTGTCCTGTAATTGCTGACCCAGCCCCTTGAATGTCTGCTGCCCCTAAGGCTCCCCATCTGCTAGAGGGCTGGTTTGTTTGCAGCCCCCAAAGTCTGTCCTTCATCACTCCCCTTCTGCTCGGTGCCTGTCTGCAGCTGGCCACCACCACCTACGGTAAGCTTCAAATCAGCAGGACTGGTCTTTTTCCTCAGTCACTGCTTCTCACTAAAACCAGCTTGTACCTTATATTTCATTACATCCCTATTCCTACAAAAACTCTGCCTGATCTAGCCCCCAAAACTAAATGTTTCTCGCCATCAACAATTCTCACTGCCCATTTTACTCATGTTCCTTTTGACACCAATCGCTCTTCACCTCATATTAAGTCTTAGTGACCTACTGTTAGATACATACTGAGTACTAGGTTCATTTAAATATTTTTTATAAACTTAAAAAAATTAACTATTTTAGAGGCACATCTTCAGGAGCGCAAATGCCTGAAAATAGAATGATGAAGGTAAACTATAACTTTATTTTAGGCCTAGTGATTGCAATACCACCTTTTGGTATTCTATTCACAATACTACAGAGCTTTAAAGTACTACAATCTTGGCATTTTGTTGGTCTGATACCATTATTTCTCTCTTATTCGATAGCTGAAACCAAAATGAGTGACATATAAGATGGATCCAGCCAGGTGTGTGCTGCACTACACTCAAACTGAGCGCAGGTGAGCTCATTCTCCACCTCCATCCACAATGTTCCAATTTATAACTTTTTAAATGTTTGTATTGATTTCTTTATTAGAGAGAGAGGAAGGGAGAGGGATAGAGATAGAAGCATCAATGAGATCCCTTACTAAGAATCAAGCCTGCAACTGGGACATATGCCCTGACCAGGAATTGAACCAGTGACCTCTTAGTTCATGGATCAATCCTCAACCACTGAGTCACACCAGCCAGGCCACAATGTTCCAACTTAATGTTTCAACCAAAGACTGGGAATCTGATTCTGAAGGTCCAGATGGGGCCTGAGATTCTGCATTGCTAACAAGTGTGAGGTAAAGCCCACATGCTGGTCTAGCAACCATCCCCTAAAAGGCCACAGGAGAGAAGAAATGACTACCAAGGAAGCAAAGACTCCATCACAACTGTCATTTCTAATTCAACCATCAACAATACTAGTAGTAATAGTTCAAAGACTTTTCAAACAAGCTGAATATAAAATACTGGAGGCCCGGTGCACGAAAATTCGTGCACTCTGGGGGGGGGGGCGTCCCTCAGCCTGGCCTGTGCCCTCTCGCAGTCCGGGACCCCTTGGGGGATGTCCCCCTGCCGACTGAGGCCCGCTCCCTGGGGGGATCAGGCCTAAGCTGGCAGTCAGACATCCCTCTGGCAGCTTGGGAGCCCTCGGGGGATGTCTGACTGATGGCTTAGGCCCACTCCCCATGGTGAGTGGGCCTAAGCCACAGTTGGACATCCTTAGTGCTGCCGCGGAGGCGGGAGAGGCTCCTGCCACCACCGCTGTGCTCGCAGCCCTCAGCCTGGCTTGTGGCTGAGCAGAGCTCCCCCGTGGGAGCACAGTGACCACCAGGCAGCAGCTCCTGCACTGAGCATCTGCCTCCTGGTGGTCATTGCGCATCATAGTGAATGGTCATTCCACCATTAGGGTCAATTTGCATATTACCCTTTTATTATATAGGATAGAATGACAGAACCAAAACTAATACAGTTTATTCTATACTCATACCTCCAGCTAAGAAATCTAAAGAGGACCAAGGTGAACTGAAAACTGTTTCTTTGAAACAAAAGAAAGAAATAAAAGGACAGGCTGGAAATGAAGGATTAAACTGTGTTTATTAACAGGCAACATGATCATTCGTCTTTCCCCAATATTATCTAAACATACAATGCAATCTTCATCAAAATCCAAATAAATTTTTAGTAGATATTGACAAATCAATTACAGACTTTATTTGGAAATGCAAAGGTCCTAGAACAGCCCAAACAACCTTGAAAAAGAGAACAAAATTGGTGAATTTACACTACCTGATGTCATGTCAAAGTAATCAGGACATGACAGTATTGCCAATGAAATTAAAAAAAAGAGATTCCAGAAAGAGATCCTAATTTAAGTGGTCAATTGATGCTCAACAGAAGCCCTAAGGCAATAAATTCAATGGGAAATCAAAGTCTTTACAATAAATAATGGTGCAATGACTAATAAACAGAGGAAAAAAATGAATCTCATACCACACACACATTTCTTAGTTGAGATAGATCAGGGACCTACGCTAAAAACAGTTAATACTATTAAAGCTTCCAGAAGAAAACATGGGATATTATCTTTGCAACTTTGGGGTAGGCAAAGATATCTTCGGTCACAAAATTAGTGTTCATCACAATAAAAATGTTCTGCCCAGCTGGTGTGACTCAGCAGTTGAGCATTGACCCAGAAACCAAGAGGTCACCCATTCTATTCCTGGTCAGGGCACATGCCCAGGTTGTGGGCTCCATCCCCAGTGGTGGGGGCATGCAGGAGATAGCTGATCAATGATGTTTCTCTTTCATCAATGTTTCTATCTCTCTATCCCTCTCCCTTCCCCTCTTAAAAAAACCAATTTAAAACATTTTTTTAAAAATATATTTTATTGATTTTTTACAGAGAGGAAGGGAGAGAGATAGAGAGTTAGAAACATCGATGAGAGAGAAACATCGATCAGCTGCCTCCTGCACATCTCCTACTGGGGATGTGCCCGCAACCCAGGTACATGCCCTTGACCGGAATCGAACCTGGGACCTTTCAGTCCGCAGGCCGACGCTCTATCCACTGAGCCAAACCGGTTTTGGCCTAAAACATATTTAAAATAAAATTTCTGCTCATGATAAAATACCTTTAAGAAAATTAAAAAACAAGCCACAGGCTCAGAGGAAATATTCCTTATATATAGAGAGACATACTAGTGTATTTTATATATATAAAAATAAAACTACTGGCCCACGAAATTT